CTGTCCACCACGGGTATAGAAACCCGGATTCTAGCGTTTTAAGTCCGCAGACATACCACTGTGTCACTGGGGGGCCCTACCGGTAGTGTAACGGTATGTAAACAAGTTTGTAATTTAGTGACTAAAGTTCTACATTTGTAAACTAATAAAAGTTTAACCCTTTTTTTTGATAACAAGCAGAATGTAGTTAACCGCTTCTTGATAAAATGTCTTAAGTACAAATTCTGTAAATTGATTTAGACTGAATAAACAAAATGGTGAACAATGTTATCGTCTTTTGATGTTTGTCGTTTTTTTTGTTTTTCTAGGAATATGATCTAGAGAATAAGATTGACTTAGAAATCAAAATGCGCGAGGGAACGACCAAGCTTTTAGCAGCATGCAAACATCCTATGCAGAGCCTGGAGGCGGCAAAATCATTACTGACGTCAAATGAAAGAATGACTGCTTACATGTCTGAGCTTCAGAGGAGGAAAATGGGAAACCTAAAGAGGTGAACTGACGTGTAATTAAGAAGTTTTTTCAAAGTGCATATTTTGTAAATCGACATGAAGATTTAGTAAATATCACGTACATTAATATGTCAACAAGCATATTTCTCAGCCAGCTTGTCAATTTACAAACGTTAGCGACATTTATAAACTAAAAAATCGATTTATAGCTTTCTTGCGTAACAGAAATGAAAGAACCACGAAGTATGCAATATATAAATCGCATACAGTTTAGCCTAAGGGCTAAAAAAATGTTTTGCTTGCGGTTACCCGACAGATCCTACATAACAATGCCCGACCTAAAGTTTTTGAACACTCCTCCCCTAAAAAAAAAATTCATCTCCCTGGAGACCCTAATGAAAAACGCCCTTCAACGTATTGTGCAAGGTGAAGGTCATAAAAAGCCACGTCTCTGATTTGTTAGTTGGTGTGGTGTGTCAACGGTCTCAGTCAATTATTAACTCTCAACACGGGTTCGGTCAAATTGACCGACCACACGACCACTTTGTACTTGTTATAGTTTCGATACTACTAACTTTTAATTTTTAAACTTTTAACTTTTTTTTTGTATGTTCACAAAATTTGGCAAACTTTCTATAAACATTCGAAGACTTTTATATACAAAAAAAATCAGATTTTTTTAGTGAAGTATTTTTAATGAAGATTTGTTTGTGAATATATCGAATATTTCTTTTTACCAGTCTGAGTGAAAAGCGATTTTCATGTTAAAATTAAAAATAAATTAATTCATCTCAAAAACCTTAAATGCCATTTGCGTAATCTATAAAACCTCCTAAATACATTTCAAACGTTTTACCTATTACTTAATCCACCATAATCCTTTTCCAGGATTGGTCAATTTGACCGACCTCGTAATCACCAAAAAAAATCGAAATATATCTAGATTACCTTTTTGTAACTGGAACTACATTTGTTTATCTCAAGTAGCTTTAAACTCATAACATTATATATCTATCTATACTTAAATGTTATTGTTTTATTGCCCTTTGAATCATGTCTAACTATTATTCGCGCCTGTATAAGTTGTAAATCACTTGGGGAATGTGCGAACTCACGTCACACTATTGAATTTTTATACTCACGAGCTACTCTGAGCTGCCTACGTGTGAGCTTCATGATTTTTTATATTATTATTATTCATTTTACCTAATCTAACCTAAGGAGTTTCCTATTTTTAGTGACCACATATCTAAATAATACTTTTTCTTATAGTGCTTAGCATCTAGTACAATCTGATATATTACAATTGCATTTATATTGTTACGTCTCTGTTCGTTTGTTAATTTTCCGTAAAAATTATTTCCGAAAAAACTTTAGCGATACAAGTCCTTTCTTAAATAAAACTAGTTTATTCTTTCTCAATACAACTTTGCAATACACTTAATTTACACAGTCAGTTTAACTTAATCAAACGCTATAATTCACAACAAACGATTCACGCACTACCGCGCTTGAGTTAATTGTCCGTCTCTATCTCTGCAATTCAATTCTATTGTTGCCGTCACTTCTTGGCGGTGTTTATAAAAGCGTACATCTCGTCTCTTCGTGAATCTTCTAGAAAATCATCACGTGACTTCCTCTGTCGTAACAATATCACAAAATATGTATCTGCATTATAAATAATACCCCACGTATCTACCATCCTATCAACAAGGATAAGGCAATGCGTGTTTTTGAAATGTCGAGCTGAAGTCTTTTGGATAGTCTCATGAATGTAATTGGTTGTCACGCAGTCTACAAGTCTCAAGTTCCTAGTCACTCAACCTGTGATAGGTCAGAAGTTCAGTAAACAATGTAAGGTTAAAAGTCACAGTCAATAAAATTAGATGTGTGTATTTTACATGTATCTACAGAAATCATGAATAGCATGCAGTTGAACTTGATTTCTTTCATCTTATTACATTAATCTGAAAATATATTTTGCTTTTAAAAGTTGATTTTCAAGAATTATATTTTTATAAACACTTCACCGTAAAGAAATTTATAATGTTAACATTATTCTTATACCACTTAATATTTTGACAGTGACCAAGTTTCAGCAAGTAATTCCCGAGTGTCTGTGTCAGGTAAGCATGCCGCTTATGCATCAAAATTGTGTTGTTATTGCAAAAGATTTAGTTCGACACTTTGATTAACTTATGAAGAACATTGTTTGAACTCAGAATATGATGAGAAATGATACAAGAGAATTCAACTTAAAGATAAATTAGTTATTTTAAGCATATTTCATGAAATATTCTGTTTATTTTTATTAAACTACACTTAAATTACTTCTTAAAAACCCCAAATCAACAGTTATCTCATAGAAAGTTAAACACACGTACTTAGGAAGATAAAATATCTTTTGTTGATCAAAACATACAAATGTGGCTACAACTTTCCTATTAACGAGGTTTCTCTCACCATAATTTGAACACCAAATTCATTCAATTTCTCTATTGCGGGTTTAAGTGTTCTACAGGATATCATAACCTTTTCAAAGTTTTCTCGTCTACATTTTGATTTCTTAGAAATCGTTTAAAATAACAGTATTTGTGGTATTTGTCGTGCAATATATTATATAATACTGATGTTACTCCCAATTATTGTACTTTTTCTTGTTCTAACCCCTCCTCTTACCTAATTTTTATGCGTTTTTTGTTTGTTTGTTATTATTTTTTTACACACCATCATGCCCTATGTTGAGCCAAAAACGCAGCCTGGTTAACTAATGAATGTTTGCTGTAAAATTCTTATCAATGCTATAAGTGTAGCTACCAGTTTGGCCGCCAATTTTGATTTCATTCCTTTAAGTCGCACACTCAATCCTTAAGAACCTCAACTAACAACTGAAATTAGAAAACACAAACCACAAGTTAAAATAACTACTATCAAACGTTTAGCTAACTGAATGGCCGAAAGATGCCTTCAGTCCTAGCAAAATTAAAGTACATACACCGGGTATGAAACCCAATACACAGTCATTTGTAATAATGGGAATACATTATTCCATTAATATTGGAGACATTAAAGACGAACTAACAAGAATACATGTCCCACACACAAAAATAGAACGAATAATTTCAAGTAGGACAAAACAACCTATAAACATTATCAAAGTCTACACAGACAACACATTTACACAAAACTCAACTAAGGAACTGATAACTAATGGTATTAGGCTCTGGTACCAGAAGTTTGAAGTTGAAGAAACAAAAACAACGGCTGTGGTTATCACAAAATGCTTCAACTGCCAACGCTACCACGTTTGTTGGATGTGGAGGTAACCACATCACAAGTAATTGTACCAAAGAAAATAGTAACCCTTTGTGCTATAATTGTAACCAACACCATACAGCCAACTATAAAGGTTGTCTAAAATATAATGAAATTAAAACAAGAATTTTCAACATAAATAATAACAGTACCCAACAAACCACACTAAAAACACAACAACAAACTAGAAAAACACTTTCACCTACACCTATCATGCAAAAAACAACCACAACAGAAACCAACAAATAACACTGAACAAGTTAATACGCAACAATCACAACATCAACAAGTAACAGTATATGAAAGCAAAGTACAAACAACAAAACAGTACAAAATCCCACACAATCATCAAATAATAGTCCAATTATAGAGGCAATTATAAACATTTTCAAAGATTTCATTGTACTGTACCAAAATCCAGAAACCAAACAAGACTGTATCACTCTCATTATAAACATAGCAAAAATCCACATTACAACAATATCATTTATAGTACAAAAATTCTTGGGTGCATTCTTAACATAAACATTCACAATTCAACACATTAACATCCAAGGTGGTCTTGCTTCCAAGAGGAACGAGATCGAAGACCTAATATTACAAACTACTCCTGATGTTTTAGTAATTACTGAAACTATGTTTATAAACAAAATTCGCTTACATTTTCAGGATGTATCTCCATAAGAGTAGATATGATAAACAAAATGCCCAATAGGGGCATAGCTTTATTGTATAAATCTACTCTTTCTATTACTCAAATTGATATTTCAAATAATAGTGAAGATATTACCACAAATGTTAATATACTGGATATGCAATTTCCGTACAAATTAAGAGCATATAATCAACAATCTATAATAATAGGTGATCTTAACAGTAAACATAAAAATTATACCTGTAATAACACAACACCAAATGGAATAAGGCTCTTAAACCTTTTAAACGATACTGGTTGTGTGTTATTAAACAACAAAACTCCTACCCATACCAGTGATGGATATCATAGAAGTGATATACTAGATCTATGTATTAGTACAATAGAACTTGCAAACAATTTATAAAACTTTTATGTTGAAAATGATATAGATAGTGATCAACTACCAATAACCCGTGTCTTCGATCTCGCCTCCCCCCATCATAATCAACCAATAATAAAACCTAAATTTGACTATCGGAAAGCAAATTGGACTAAATATGCAAATGAATTAGATAGATTACTACCAAGTTTAATACTTGAAATTGCACAAGAGCTATCAGATATTGATGCATACTGTCAAACAATATCTGAGTCTGAGTGTCTGATAAATGCCACTGAAAAAACAATACCTAAACAACAATCATACAATTCTTCCATATAATGGAAACCAAGTGTACAAACAATAGACATGATTAAAAGAAGAAGATTACTCATAAGACAATACATGAATATAAGAGATCCAAATACTAAAAAAAAAATTAACTTCATAAGAAATGAAATTAAACAGTTAAAACAAGATAGCTGGGACAATTATTGTTCCAATATATTGTGTAGGCAATAACAAAATTGCCTACACAAATAAACAAAAAGCAGAAGCTTTTAAAGATCAATTCAAGAAAACTTTTAAAACACATCAAGAACCTGACATGAATAACCATTTCTACAATAAGGTAAATGAATATGCACATAGAAATCAAGAATTATTCACACCAAAAGTTCCGGCCACCACAACAATCTTCCAAAATAATAATCAGGATCTAGCACAACAAATCACAAACACAATAACTAAACCTGAGGTTACACTATCCATAAAACAAACAAAAACGAAGCACCAGGAGAAGATCAAATACAAGTAATACTGTTAGAGAAAGGTCCTCAGAGTTTGTTTGACCACTTAACAGCTTTATTAAATTTATCCCTAATATTCGTGAAGGAAGAAAAACCAACAAATAAGCCGAAAAATTACAGACCAATCAGTTTAACTAGTTGTCTATGCAAAATTTTGGAGAGAATAATTAGCAATAGAATCTCAAATTTTCTAGGGATCACATCAAAATTACCTAAAGTTCAAAACGGTTTCAAAAAATTTCGGCAAACAACTGATCATTTAGTAAGGCTTACTGAAACTGTAATATATAGTTTTAATCAAAAGAAATGCACTGTCACTTGATTTCTCGATATCAGCAAAATTGTTACGCCTAATGTATGATTCTAAATTAAATTGGAGAAAATATGTATTTAAAATGACAAAAAAAAAGTGTGGCAACAAGCAAACTATCTCAAAATACTAACCGGCAAAAACACATGGGTATCCATAGAAAATATTATTAAAATTTATAAACAATATATTAGACTTGTAATAGAATATGCATGCCCTGCATGGTTAAACGTTGTGAAAACAAATCTTAAGAAACTGCAAATAATACAAAATTCAATACTTACCACAGCTTTCAGTGTACCAAGAACCACAAACTCAAAGTTTCTACACAATTATGCAAACCTATCTCCACTAAAAGACAGAATGATAGATTGCTCGCTCCGCTACTTCTATAAAAATGATGTTAACATAAATAGATTGCTATATCATACATGATGTAGATAGGTCTAAGTGCCTTTCACCATCAAATTTCTACATTAGAAATAAAACCACCCACACTAGACATTAAAATAGTTTACCAAGAGTTAGATATCACCGTGGTATTTAAAAAGGGTATTATATGTACAAATACGCGTTAGTGAACAAGTGTGATTTCATTTTCAGAACTGTTTGCAGACCTACACAACCAAATGAAGCGAACTACTACGGTACGAACCGGTGACCAAATGAAGGAAATAATTTTAAAATTACACTAAATGCTACTAGCATAATAATCAACGGACATGGCCTTGAAAAGGTGTAAAAGTTAAATCAGCGTTTTGTGTCAAAATATCATCAGCAGCATTTGTCAATCTTAGTTAATAAACTTAAGAGGGAAGAAGAGGTCGAAAACTTACCTGACCCTCAACGTCTTAACATACGGTGCCGAACGTGTACTCAATCCTTTTTTGTCCGCACCATTTTTTCATACCTAATGTGTTTTTGATTATATATATATATATATATATAT